TCCATAACCAGTAAGGAAGTCGAATTAGTAATCAAAAATCTGCCAAAAACAAGAGTCCAGGGCCAGATGGCTTTCCAGGGGAATTCTACCAAACATTTAAGGAAGAGTTAACACCTATTCTCTTTAAGCTGTTCCAAAAAAATAGAAATGGAAAGAAAACTTCCAAAGTCTTTCTATGAAGCCAGCATTACCTTGATTCCAAAACCAGACAGAGACCCCACTAAAAAGGAGAACTATAGACCAATTTCCCTGATGAACATGGATGCAAAAATCCCCAACAAGATATTAGCCAACCGGATCCAACAATACATTAAAAAAATTTTTCACCACGACCAAGTGGGATTTATACCTGGGATGCAGGGCTGGTTCAATATCCACAAAACAATTAAGGTGATTCATCACATCAATAAAAGAAAGGACAAGAACCATATGATCCTCTCAATAGATGCAGAGAAAGCATTTGACAAAATACAGCATCCTTTCTTGATAAAAACCCTCAAGAAAGTAGGGATAGAAGGAGCATACCTCGAGATCATAAAAGCCATATATGAACGACCCAATGCTAATATCATCCACAATGGGGAAAAACTGAGAGCTTTCCCCCTAAGGTCAGGAACAAGACAGGGATGTCCACTCTCACCACTGTTATTCAACATAGTATTGGAAGTCTTCACCTCTGCAATCAGACAACACAAAGAAAGAAAAGGCATCCAAATCAGCCAGAAGGAGGTCAAACTTTCACTCTTTGCAGATGACATGATACTCTATATGGAAAACCCAGAAGATTCCAACAAAAAACTGCTAGGATTGATTCACGAATTCAGCAAAGTTGCAGGATATAAAATCAACACACAGAAATCAGTTTCATCTCTATACACCAACAATGAAGCAAGAGAAAGAGAAATCAAGGAATTGATCCCATTTACAGCTGAAAAAAAAAAAAAACCACATAAAATACCTGGGAATAAATCTAACCAAAGAGGTGAAAAATCTATACACTGAAAACTAGAGAAAGCTTATGAAAGAAATTGAAGAAGACACAAAGAAATGGAAAAAGATTCCATGCTCCTGGATAGGAAGAACAAATATTGTTAAAATGTCGATATTACCCAAAGCAATCTGCATATTCAATGCAATCCCTATCAAAGTAACACCAGCATTCTTCACAGAGCTAGAACACATAATTCTAGAATTTGTATGGAACCAGAAAAGACCCTGAATAGCCAAAGCGATCTTGAAAAAGAAAACCAAAGCAGGAGGCATCACAATCCCAGACTTCAAGCTATACTACAAAGCTGTAATAATCAAGACAGTATGGTATTGGCACAAGAACAGACACTCAGATCAATGGAGCAGAATAGAGAACCCAGAAATGGACCCACAAATGTATGGCCAACTAATCTTTGACAAAGCAGGAAAGAATATCCAATGGAATAAAGACAGTCTCTTCAGCAAGTGGTGCTGGGAAAATTGGACAGCAACATGCAGAAGAATGAACCTGGACCACTTTCTTACACCATACACAAAAATAAACTCAAAATGGATGAAAGACCTAAATGTAAGACAGGAAGCCATCAAAATCCTCGAGGAGAAAGCAGGCAAGACCTCTTTGACCTTGGCCGCAGCAACTTCTTACTCAACACATCTCTGGAGGCAAGGGAAACAAAAGCAAAAATGAACTACTGGGACCTCATCAAAATAAAAAGCCTCTGCACAGTGAAGGAAACAATCAGCAAAACTAAAAGGCAACCAACAGAATGGGAGAAGATATTTGCAAATGACATATCAGATAAAAGGTTAGCATCCAAAATCTATAAAGAACTTATCAAACTCAACACCCAAAAACCAAATAATCCAGTGAAGAAATGGGCAAAAGACATGAATAGACACTTCTCCAAAGAAGACATCCAGATGGCCAACCGACACATGAAAAAATGCTCAACATCACTCATCATCATGGAAATACAAATCAAAACCACCATGAGATACCACCTCACACCTGTCAGAATGGCTAACATTGACAACTCAGGCAACAATAGATGTTGACGAGGATGCGGAGAAAGAGGATCTCTTTTGCATCGTTGGTGTGAATGCAAGCCGGTGCAGCCACTCTGGAAAACAGTATAGAGGTTCCTCAAAAAACTAAAAATAGAACTATCCTATGACCCAGCAATTGCACTATTAGGCATTTATCCACGGGATACAGGTGTGCTGTTTCGAAGGGACACATGGACCCCCATGTTTATAGCAGCACTATCAACAATAGCCAAAGTGTGTAAAGAGCCCAAATGTCCATCAATGGATGAATGGATAAAGATTATATATATATATATATATATATATATATATATATATATAAAGGAGTATGACTCGGCAATCAAAAAGAATGAAATCTTGCCATTTGCAACTACATGAATGGAACTGGAGGGTATTATGCTAAGTGAAATTAGTCAGTCAGAGAAAGACAAAAATCATATGACTTCACTCATATGAGGACTTTAAGAGACAAAACAGATGAACATAAGGGAAGGGAAACAAAAATAATATAAATTAGAGAGGGGGACAAAACAGAAGAAACTCATAAATATGGAGAACAAACAGAGGGTTACTGGAGGGGTTGTGGGAGGGGGGATGAGCTAAATGGGTAAGGGGCACTAAGGAATCTACTCCTGAAATCATTGTTGCACTATATGCTAACTAATTTGGATGTAAATTTTTTAAATTTAATTTAATTTAAAAAATATCCCTTGGGTGGATTCCCATGGCCTTTTGTAAAGTCTGAAATCCTTACCTGGGCTGATCAGGCATCATTATGCTGCTGGAGCTTTTTCAGTGTCCTATCCTCCGTACTACAGCCAAGGAAATTCAATTCAGTGGACATTTGCAAAGGAATACCAAGAGAAGGAAAAAGAAAGAGAAAGACCAAATGCTGTGCTTTTGGTCTCCAAAATGGGATTTTTGAGTTGTATCTGGCCAGAATAAATAATTTTCTAACTTCCTGTATCTCCCATTAGCATGTCCTGTTGGAGTAGGCTGTAGATTTCCAGTCTCAATCAGGAGTAGAGAGGACACAGGCTGCATCATAAGGAAAGTTTCTACTACATTAAATGAAGGTTGTGAAAAAAACCACCTCTTCCAGCCTGGCAGACTAGGGTAAGAATTAGCATGCTTTCTAATGATTTTAGTGACACAGAACAGAAAAGAATAAAAATAAATAAACAATATATGTAAAAAAAATAATAAGCATTTAAAAAAATAATAGCAGAGGTGGCGAGGCCAGGGGTCAGGAGAGCATTTGATTTTTCCCCTCTAGGCTAAAATTCCAAAAGTCAGGATTTAGATAGATTTTGCCTTGCTCCCTTTTGGAGAGGAGACAAAGTGAAAATGGCAGTGAAGCAGATAAATGGTTTGAGTTAGCAGCCTCAAGACTCTCTGAGGCTCCTGGGTATAGTGCAAAAAGTCCCAAAGTTCTTTGCTTTCCAAGGAAAGATATGGAATGCAGCTGAAGGACTGGCCAGGTCTCAGAAGGGGTTAACATCTCCAGCAAGAACATGAGTAAGAGTGAGTCAGTTAAGGAGTCCCCAGGCCCTGACCCTGCTAAAAGAACTAACTAGAAGTTCACCAACCACACTCGGCAATTTGTCAGTCAGCCCAGAGGACCCCAGGACCAGACTCATGAAGCTGAGACTAGCCTGGATCCTGAAGGCAGAGCATGGAAATGAGGTCCTCAGCCCGATCACCACAATGTGTTCATATGAAGGCTACCATACACTTATCAAGGTACAGAGGAAGAATCTGGAAAACTAAAACACCATGAGTTACCCAGAGGAAAGTTTATAAACTGGAAGATTCTGAGACATGGCCAAACAACAACTTCTAGATGAGGAACGGAGATAGTCAGGAGGTGGGAAGGCCTTGAGAAGAAGGAGCTGAAACATTTAATGTGTGATACATAATAGAACATTCCAGGGGCTGGTACTTGGTCCAGATGAAGGTATCACCACTAGACTCTGTCTTAACTATTAACCTACCAAATAAAACCTGGCAATGGAGACTGGGGTAAGGGCTTGAGGAGTGGAGGCAGTGACAGGGAGAAGAATAGGAGGCTGTAGCAGAGATTGAGTTTATTGTTCAAGGCTGTAAACCCAACACCTAAAATGTGCCTTTCTTAGCATAAATAAATGAATGAATAAATGAATTTTGGGCAATGCCTATAAAGAAGGTTGGGAGTGGGGGACAGCAGCTTGGGCGGCCAGGTCTGTTGGATCCTAGTTTACCAACTAATAGGTAATAAATACCAAAACACATTACTTTCTGATTATTTCACTACATTTTCCTCTTATCTATGCTCTCCAGATTATTTATGCCTCTGGTATCCAGGGCTGGCTCCATGGGCATGGAACAGGGCCCCGTACTCAGAAGGTGGCAAGCTTGGTTTACTGCTTTCCTGTCATCATCTTGAAATTGTTAACAACTTTTTAATGAGGGGCCCCACATTTTCATATTGCGCTGGGATCCACAAATTACTTAAGTAATCTGGGACCTGATTGTATCTGTAGTGTCTTCTGCAGCTTGATAGCACAGGGTGGACATTGGCAAACGCCGGAAATCCAAGTTAGAACCAATTGTAAAATGTGTACCACCAGACAAGCCACACTATATAAGTATAATGATTACACATGCCCACCCCCAACCCCCGTGGGTTTTGATAGAATTTCAAGTAGGAAAGAAGGTTTTTGGGTTTTTTGTTTTTGTTTTTTGTTTTAAACATAGCACTTTACCATTTATTTGTGGCAAAGAAGAAAAACAGTGGCCTCAGCCTTGGTGTTATTTCAAAACCTAAATTCAGATATCCCATGATTGCAAACTGTCACAGATGAAGTGTGACACTCCAGAAGGGCGGTAAGAAGTCTCCCTGAATGAAGAAGGTTCGCATCAATTGGTGAAAGGTTAGAAATCCGAGAACTCGCGCCTGCCTCCTCTGGCCAAGCCTTAGCTGTCGCTCCCAGCGCTCTTCCTCCTCCGCGGGGAAGCCGGGAGCTCGCCAGAGTGTACGGAGACGCGGTAGGCTGGGCGACCCTCTCCAGGCGCGGGGCGGAGAAAGCCCACCCGCCTCCGGAGCCCCACAGACTTGTCTGCGACCCGCACAGCAATGGAGCCCTCTTGGCTGGAGATGCGCTGGGCGCGGCCCTTGTACCTGGCCTTCGTGTTCTGCCTGGCCCTGGGGCTGCTGCAGGCCATCAAGCTCTACCTGCGGAGGCAGCGGCTGCTGCGAGACCTGTGCCCTTTCCCCGCGCCCCCCACCCACTGGTTCTACGGGCACCTGAAGGTAATGGAAGGGAGGGGCGGAGAAGGATGCTGCCCAGGGAACCCGGCGAGCGGAGAGGAGGCTGCTTGAGCCCCTTCCTCCCATCGCTGCGTCCTGCACAGTTGGCCCACCCTGTGGCTCACAGCACTGCAGGGAAAGGAAAAGAGCCTGGAGCCTCTAGGGTGGAAGCTCCGGGAGGGCTGGGAGGGCCATGTAGAGACTGAGTACAGAAAAAGAACGTGCTGTAGTTCAGGGCGGGCTCTAATTGCTTCACCGATCTCTTGCATTTATGTACTGCATTTTAAAAATCCTACATGGATCGCTAAAAAATAGTTATGTTATTCTAAATAATGCAAATTAACTGCAGAAAATATGCAAAATTGAGCACAATTGCCACCCTCAGTCCGTTACAACCAGAGAAAATGAACTTTCTTTTCCCAAGATTCTTTTGAAGTAGAGAGCAGCCCCAGCCAATCGCTCAAAAATGGTTGGCGAATTTACCTTTTGGTCTCTCTTGTTCTCCAAATCCTCTCTCACTCCTGATTACCTTGTTTATTCATTCAGCCAGCTTTGAGTGGAATTGTGTGATGGGTGCTAGCATTACAAAGAGCAGACCCCCGTACCTGCCCTCAGAGGGCCAAACCAGACGCATATTTAGACCACAAAGAGATAATGCAAATACAGTAGTGAGTGATTTGATAGAGGCCCGGGAACAAGGCATCTTGGAAATAGGTGTCTGTACCTAGGGGAGGAAGGAAAGTCTCTGAAAGGCTGGGCAGAATTCGAAAGGGTGGGTGGGTTGGGAAGGGTGTCTCCGGCAGAGCTACTGCGGAATTCTTTGGCTCCCCCACTCCTGGTCCTTCCCTAAAGCAACACTCTCAACTGTTTTACCTGTTTATTTTCATCCTTACTGCTAAATTAATATTACTATGTTGCATTTCTTAATTCAATCATTTTAGATATCCATTTACTAGCTACTTTATGATGAGTAACCACTTATACCTCATCTTTTGCTGTCCCAATATAGTTATATTGTATTTTTTGGTTAAATAGAAAAATTAGTATTTATATTATTTTTATTATGTAAATATTTACTTACCGCTGATCTAATGGTTGATTTTGTTTCTTTTCTTATGGAACATTTTTTCTTCCACAGTGTTTCTCATATGCTTAGTTTTTCAAAATCTGTCACTGTTTTTTTCCCCCAAATGTTTTAATAGATAGATCTGTCAAACACATCTCAAGAATCTTTCCAAGTATTAAAACATATCAAACAACCTGTCAGTTTTTATGCTTTTCTGGAGGCATTTCTCCCAAAGACCTCTCCTCCTCTTCTAAGCTGGACTGGTTGGTTCTTCTCTAGGTCTGATACATAGATATTGTGCCATCCTGTGTCATATCTTCCATTTCCTGGATACTATGTCTTCTATTTTTCTTGATTTATTTGATCATTTTTATGAGTAGCTCCTTGAGATTGAGTGAAAGGAATGTCAGGTGAATTTTTTGAGCTCTTGAATAGCTGAAAATGTCTATTAAAATTCATTCATGAATTTTAATTCATTAAAATTCATGACTGATAATTTGGCTGGGTATAGAATTATACTTTGGAAATAATTTTCTCTCGGAATTTTGAAGACACCATGCCATTGTCTTCTAGCTTTCGGGATAACTGTTGAAAATTCTGATACCTTTCTGACTTTTTCCCCAAAATCTTTACTGTGGTAAAATGCCCCAAACATAAAATTTGCCATCTTCACCATTTTTAAAAGTGTACAGTTCAGTGACATTAAATACATTCATAATGCTGTGCAACCACCAGCACTATCCACCTCCATAACACTTTGCATCTTGTAAAACTGAAACTGTATACCCATTCAACAACAGTTCCCCATTTTTATCTCTCCTCAGCCCCTGGCAACCACCATTCTATTTTCTGTTTCTACAGTTTTAGCTACTCTACATATCTCCTATAAGTGGAATCATGTAGTATCTTTTTGTGACTAGATTATTTCACTTAGCATAATGTCCTTAGGGTTCTTCCATATTGTAGCATGTGTCAGAATTCCCTTCCTTTTTAAAACTGAATAATATTTCACTGTGCATCTGTACCACATTTTGTTTATCTGTTCATCCTGTCAGTGGACACTTGGGTTGTATTCTACATTTTAGCTATTGTGAACATGAGTGTAAAAATCTGTTTGACACCCAGCTTTCGACTGGATATATACCCAGAAGTGGAATTACTATATCATATGGTAATTCTATTTTTAATTTTTTGAGGAGCAACCATACTGTTTTCTGCAATGGCTGCACCATTTTACACTTCCACCAGAAGTGCACAGGGGTTCCAATTTCTCCACATTCTTACCAACACTTGTTTTCTGGCTTTTGCTTTTTTCTGATAGTAGTCATCCTAATGAGTGTGAGGTAGTATCTTATACTTTTGATTTGAATTTCCCTAATGATTAGTGATGTTGAGCATCTTTTCATGTGCTCAATGCCATTTGTATATCTTCTTTGGAGGAATGGCCAGTTAAGTCCTTTACCCATATTTGGATCAGGTTGTTTGTTTTTTGATGTTGAGTTTTAATATTTCTCTATGTATTTTGGATATTAATCCCTTATCAGATATATTATTTGTAAATATTTCTCCAATTCTGTGGGTTTTTTTACTTTTCCTGTTACACTGTGTTTTCATACACATTTTTTTAATTTTTGTAAAGTCCAATTTATATATATTTTTTTCTTTTTTCCTGTGCCTTTGGTGTCATAATCAAGAAATCACTGCCAGATCCAATGTTGTGAAGAATTTACCCTGTGTTTTCTGCTAAGAGTTTTATAGTTTTAGTTGTTACTTTTAGGTCTTTGAGCCATTTTTGGCTAATTTTTGTATATGGTGTTAGATAAGGAAGGACCCAACTTTATTCTGTTGCATGTGGATATTCGGTTTTCCCAACAACATTTGTTGAAAAAACTGCCCTTTCCCCCCCCCCCGTTTTTTTTTTCTTCAGGGTACAAAGCTAGTTTATTTGGACAAAGTTTTTCACATACACAGAAAAGCTCAATATGCATTTCCAGCCACCCAATCCCAAGCACTTGGTAATTACAGCCAAAGGTTCAAAAACTTACTGAAGATACAGACCCTGTTTACATGTCCTTTTCCCATGGAATGATTCTATCCCCTTTGTCAAAAATCATTTGACCATATATTTGAGGGTTATTTTCAGGCTTTCTATTTTATTCCATTTGCCTATATGTCTGTCTCTGTGCCAGAACCATGCTGTTTTGATTACTGTAGCTTTGTAGTAAGTTTTGAAATCAGGAAAATGAGTCCTTCAGCTTTGTTCTTCTTATTAAAGATTTTTTTGGCTATTCAAGGTCCCCTGAGATTTCATATAAATTTTAGGATAGACTTTTCTATTTCTACAGAAAACATCATCGGGATTTTGTTAGGCATTACATTGAATTTGTAAAACTCTTTGGGTAGTACTGGAATCTTAATAATAATGTCTTCCAATTCGTGAACATGGGATGTGTTTCCATTTATTTATGTTTTTTTAAATACATAAATATTGTTTCTTCAGCAATGTTGTTTAGTTTTCACTGTACAAGTCTTTCACTTTGTTGGTTGGAAATACTTGGTTTTCCAATACTTGATTTCACCTCCTAAATATTTTATTCTTTTTGATGCTATTGTAAATGGGCTTGTTTTTGTCATTTTCTTTTCAGATTGTTTATTGTTAGTGTACAGAAATGCAACTGGTTTTTGTGTAGAAAATGTAGATTTTCTACATTTTAATGTAGAAATATAGCTAGCTTTGCCAAATCTAAGGTTAATTCCTTATCTTTTCTTCTAAGAGTTTTATAGTTTTAGCTCTTTCATTTAGAACTTTGATGCATTAAGTTAACTTTTGTATATTGCATAAGGTGGGGGTCCAACTTTATCCTATTTTTTTGTGAATATCCAGTTATCCCAGCACCATTTGTTGAAAAGACGATACTTTGCCCCCATTAAATTGTTTTGACACCTGAGTAGGAAAAACCAAGTTCTCTCCCTGTGGAGACCCCACAGATTAAGGGTTCAGCCCCACAAGATTACCCCAACTCCATTTCAGATGCCAATTGCAAGTCCAGGTTGTTACTGTGCTTCTGACCAATCAGCTATAAGTTGGAGGCTCCCATGACCTTCTCCTCAGGTTTGATTAATACGCTAGAACAGCTCACAGAACTCAGGAAACAGTTGACTTACTGTTTACCAGTTTGTTATAAAAGGATATGATAAAGGATACAGATGAACATGCAGTTGGAAGTGATGCAAAGGACAAGTATGTGGGAAGGGGCACAGAGCTTCCACAGAGCCCTCTCCAGATGCATCACTCTACCAGCACCTCCATGTGTTCACCAAACCAGGTCTCCAAACCCTGTACTTTTGGAATTATTATGGAGGCTTCATCACGTAGATACGATTGAACATTAACTCCATTTCCAGTTCATCTCCTTCTCTGGAGAATGAGAAGTGAGACTGAAGATTCCAAACTTCTAATTATAGCTTGGTCTATCTGGTGACCAGCCCCCATCCGAGAGCCCACCAAGAGTCACCTCATTGGAACAAAAGACATTGCTATCAGTTGACTGTAAACATGAAGTTTATTTATGGATTCTCAATTCTATTCTTATAGAATAGAATTATTCTTATTGTCTATACTTATGCTGATACCACACTGTCTTAATTATTTTTGCTTTGTAGTAAGTTTTGAAATTAGGAAACATGAGTCCTCCTGCTTTGTTCTTTTTCAAGATTACTTGGGCTATTTTGGATACCTCTGGTTTCCATATAAGTTTTAGAATCAGCTTGTCAATGCCTACAAAGAAGCCAGCTGTGATTCTGATGGGGATTGCACTGAATCTGTAGATCAGTTTGGCAAATACTGCCATTTTAACAACATGAAGTTTTCTGCTCCATGAACATGAAATGTCTTTACATTTATATAAGTCTTTTTAAATTTCTTTCAACAATGTTTTATAGTTTTCAGTAACCTTTACATTTATCCTATTAAATTTGTTTCTGAATGTTTTATTCTTTCTGATACTGTTGTCAAAGGATGGTTTTATTTTCAGTCAGATTGTTTATTGCAATCATGTTTTAAAGTCCATATCTCTCTGGGGCGCCTGGGTGGCGCAGTCGGTTAAGCGTCCGACTTCAGCCAGGTCATGATCTCGCGGTCCGTGAGTTCGAGCCCCACGTCAGGCTCTGGGCTGATGGCTCAGAGCCTGGAGCCTGTTTCCGATTCTGTGTCTCCCTCTCTCTCTGCCCCTCCCCCGTTCATGCTCTGTCTCTCTCTGTCCCAAAAATAAATAAACGTTGAAAAAAAAAATAAAGTCCATATCTCTCTTGACTGCCACTAAATTATTTTTTTGTGTGTTTTAGAGAGGCCTCTATCAGAGTTTTGCAGATGAGAGATGGCTGATATATCAAGCTGGCTAATATTACCAACTCTACCTATTTACCTTTTTTTTTTTGCCCTTTATGTTTCTTTTGACAATTCATCACTCAGATAGTCACCAGGAAGAGCTAGAACTATTATACTTAACCTTCCTAAGGCTCAGTTTCCTCATCTGTAAAATGTAGGTTCGAATCATATCTGCTTCATAGGGTTCTTGGTATAGAGATTAAACAATATACATCATGGAGGGGAGCTTGGGTGGCTCAATTGCTTAAGCATCCGTCTTCAGCTCAGGTCATGACCTCATGGCTCGTGGTTCAAGCCCCATGTTGGGCTCTGTGCTGACAGCTCAGAACCTGGAGTCTGCTTCAGATTCTGTGTCTCCTTCTCCATCTGCCCCTCCCCCACTCACGTTTTGTCTCTGTCTCTCAAAAATCAATAAACATTTAAAAAAAGTTTAAAAATATATATAAAGCATGGAAAGTAACTTGGCAACATCTAGCTCATAGTAGTGCTTTGTAAATGTTAGCTATTACTATTTCTTTGAGAACTAAGCATTTTCTGATTATTTCTGAACAGTGTTTCCTAAATATGTGTAAGACATATTTTCAAATGTATTAAGATACTGCTATGGATGAAGAAATGTAAATTCATATATTACAGGAGTCACAATGGCTTTCTATCCTTTTTGTCCAGAAAGGAGTTACTAAAAGTATGACCAAATGCTTTTTGGCTGAAGGTGTCCATGACAATTTTTAACTTAAAAAAATAATCCTCACACTAGGCTATAATTTCCATGAGGACAAAGACTTTGTCTGTCTTATATTTCTCTGCATCTCTATTGCCTGGAATATATAGTAGGCACTTAATAAATTCTCATTTGTTTATTGTTTGCAAATGGATGAAGGAAGGAACATTTGTTTTGTTAGGGAACATCATTGGCATTGTCAGTGGGTACTTGTCACTGACTTGGTTGTGGAAGTGTTAGGAAAAATGAGTCTGCACCATTTCAGGAGGTAGAGTTCAAGAATCTCAATCTGTTAGGGGCCCTACACTTTCCAGGGAACACTTCATGGGATAAAAGGTGCTAGCTTGTAACAGAGGATATTGGGAGCCAAAGTTTGCCAACTTTTCTGAGGATAGCAAATTCTATATGACTGGTCACATAAGGGAGAACTTGCCAACCTTGGTTTCCTTGCAAGTCAGGACCCCCACAATCATGTATCACTGGGCACCCCCAGACACACATATACAGGTGCCCGCCACACTCCCACTTTATACAAGAAGTTAATGAATCTTCTTGTCAGTGATTTAGAGGAACTATTTAAATGAGCCATTAGTGGTAGAAGACATGAACAGACAATTTTCCAAAGTAGACATCCAGATGACTAACAGACACATGAAAAGATGTTCAACACCACTCATCATTAGGGAAATACAAATAAAAACCACAATAAGATATCACCTCACACCTGTCACAATGGCTAAAATTAACAGCACAGGGAAAAAACAGATGTTGGTGAGGATGTGGAGAAAGAACCCTTTTGCGCTGTTGGTGCAGATGCAAATAGGTGCAGCCACTCTGGAAAGCAGTATGGAGATTCCTCAAAAAATTTAAAATAGAACTACCCTATGACCCAGTAATTGCTATACTAGGAATCTATCCAAAGGATACAAAGATGCTGATTTAAAGGGAAAATGTACCCCAATGTTTATAGCAGCACTATCAACAATAGCTAAATTATGGAAAAAGCCCAAATGTCCATTGATTGATGAATGGATAAAGGAGATGTGGTGTATATACACAATGGAATATTACTCAGCCACCAAAAAGAATGAAATCTTGCCATATGCAACAACATGGATGGAACTAGAGTGTATTATGCTAAGTCAGTCAGAGAAAGACAAATATCATATGACTTTACTCATATGTGGAATTTAAGAAATACAACAGATGAACATAGGGGAAGGGAAGAAAAAATAAGATAAAAACAAGGAGGGAGGCAAACCATAAGAGATTCTTAAATATAGAGAACAAACTGAGGGTTACTGGAGGGGAGGCAGGTGGGGAGTGTGGGCTAAATGGGTGATGGGCATTAAGAAGAACACTTGTTGGGATGAGTTCTGGGTGTTACGTGTAAGTGATGAACCACTGAATTCTACCCCTGAAACCAATACTACACTATATGTTAACTAACTTGGATTTAAATAAATAGAAAATAATAATAATAAATGAGCCATTAGTAACCTGCTTATCAAGGCAAAAGTTCATCTCTGATGATAGTAAGGGAAAAGAACAGGGTTTTCTTTGTAGATGGAGTGGGCAGGTTTTTGGGGAGAAGCTTTAACTATGAATTCCCAAAAAGGATCATTCCTCAATTAGTAATAATCAGAGAGGAGAAAAGGAAGAGGGAATGGTGAGCTAGATTGTGGGTCATGTTCAATCTACTACCAGTTAGCTTCCCACATAGGAAAAAAACGTTCAGCTTCCAGAGTCCACTCCTAAAAAGTGTGTGACTTTAGCAGGTGAGGCAGACTCAGCTCGCTTCACCCTCTCAGTTGGGAAAATGGCTCATGGTAGATGTCAATTGACAGAGATTTATTCTGGGGATTCAACATGCATTTAGATGGGGAAGTTAAACACACTGATATTCGTTAGAAAATTATACTCCAAGCTTAGAAATGCTGAGGAGAGCATGTCTGTGCTACCTTATCCGGGCCCTAGATTCGGATCACATCTGTAGGAGGGGATGAGTCCAGATTGGCTGGCTTCTTTAACTTCCTTCACTCATTTTTCACTGCAGCTACTTCAGGATGGTGAAATGGAGAAACTTGAGGAGCTTGTTGGAAAATACCCTTGTGCCTTTCCTTGCTGGGTTGGGCCCTTTCAGGTATTCTTCTATATCTATGACCCAGACTACGCAAAGGCATTTCTGAGCAGAACAGGTAAGAAAAGGGATGAATCTCGGGAACCTATCCTCCTAGGAGGGATATGCACAACTCACAGGCAGGATTCTAAAGGAATCCTGAAGCAAAGATTAATATCAGGCCTTTATTAAGAGACCTGGAGACAAACTGACTGTTACCAGAGTCAGGCGGCAGGGGGCGGAGGGTGAAATATGTGATGGGGATTAAGGAGCGCACTTGTGATAAGTACTGAGTGATGTATGGAAGTGTTGAATCACTACATTTACACCTGAAACTAATATAACACTGTATGTTAACTATACTGGGGTTAAAACAAAGCAAGAGAGGCCTGGCCTGGAGAAAGCCAAGAGAGTTTCTGAGCAATGCTGAAAGGGATTCCCATGTCCCCCAAGTCCCTTGTCAGGCTAAGACTCCCATGAACCCTTTAGGGTGTAACATAAAGCCCCGCTGGCACCACCAGATCACCAAGGGCTTCCTCTACGTCTCGGTTTTGTGATGTCAGTAATACTCCCCATCCCCCAGCCCCTTACTTGCGCATGAGTCTTCAGGGGAATTCAGAAGTAGCTCTGCCTCTGCTGGTTTTGTACCTGAACCTGGGTGCTAGATCATTAATTTACCAGTATAACCTCTTGGCTGCAGTCCAGATATTTTTGTTTTCTTCATATTTCTCAACTATGTTCCCTTTTGGAACGCGAGTCATCTAACTCCCCCATCCAAGCCTTTTCAAAGACGTCTGTGGCAGATTGTCTCATCGCACAAAATTAAAACGTCCAGTTTGGGAGCACCTGGGTGGCTCAGTCGGTTAAGTGTCCGACGAAGCCCCCACGCTGGTCTCCACAGTGGGCGTGAAGCCTACTTTAAAAAGAAATGTCCAGGTTTTGCTCCATCATCTTTGTAAAACTAAGATCTTACATTCTAATCTTTCTTCTCTGTCCATTGTCTCCATTACTTTTAGTAAAACCTAATAAAAGAAAACAGCCTTTCCCTGAAAGTCTCCATTTTTCCCAATCCCTTAGCCCTGATTTGTTTCCTGCTCACTTCTTAAAGGACAAGAGCTGTAAAACACTTCCACATTAGAGGTCATGAGAACCCCCAGAGGCATTTGATCCCCACTCTCTGTGGTCTGCCAGCTCCTGCTGTAAACACTAATCTACTTTCCAAGAAGGATATAATATATTGTCCCAAATCCTGTTCTGGAAACTTGGTCACCCTTGGGCAATCTGTTTCTATAGGAGAAAGTATAAGCAAGGGAAGAATCTGGGTTTGTGTACCTGTCTGCCTCCTGGGGTTTATTGTTCTCTGGCTCCTTAACCAAACTTATGGTTTGCCGGGGCATGCCATGGTTTGCCATGCCATGCCTGGGCTCCTTCTTGGTGTTTGTGGTTAGCACAGGCAAATGAAGAGAACCTTCACCGACTTTGGTAATTTTCTTCTAATGCTGTTGTTTGTTTCCTCTGCTTGACTCTACAGATCCCAAGTCCAAGTACCTGTACAAGTTCTTGATTCCATGTCTTGGTATGTATGTGCCAGAGAGACAGGTGATTCACTCTCTCGCTTGAGGTCCCCTTGGTATAGTAAAGCATTCCAAAGAAACAAGTCAGAATGCTCAAAACAATTAAGAGGATGGACGATCTATGCTGCAAGTTATCTAGGGGAAAAATCAAGAGGGAATGCTAAGATCAACCCAGCACAACTTCCTAAGAACCCTCCTTATCCATTTCTCTCTCCAAAGTCTCATTCTCAAGGCAGCATGTGTGTGAATCTGTCCCATCTCTGTCTTTAAAACTGCAGCCACACATCTGTATTCTTTATTTTGTCCTTTCTTTTCTCTTGTTTTCTTGGATCTTCCACTTTCTTTTTGGAGTCCATATATTTCCATATGCAAACCAGTACAGTTTTGCTCTGAAGTATAGTTTGGTAGTATTCCATGAGCAGATGAATTAGGCCTTCTGGTCATGTAATTGGTATTCATGTTAGACAAAGAAGGAGTTACATGAAAAAACTGTTGATTTGGGGTTCAGAGCTACTTGGATTTGAATACTGCCTCCCACTAGCTAGTTGCATGTGATTCTGGGGAAATCTTCTGATGAGAGTTACATCTCTAGGCCATTGTGGGGATTAAATGAAACACGTATTTTCAGCACTTACTGTAGTGGCTGGCATGGTACCAGCACCAGACCATACATCTCAAGCCTGACATGTTGTAAGCACCCAATGAATGATGGAAGTTACTTATTAATAAATGTTAAAGTCATTTTAAAGCCAAATCTTTAATGACCTTTCTTGCAACCAAAGACTGTAAAGCACTGATCTTGATGAGTGTTTGCACTCCATATCATTTATAAGTGTGAATCACCAACTAAGGCCCAAGGAGGAGATATCTGGGGACAGAGTGGACACTTACGTCTAGTTCCTTATAAATTTTGTGTTCGCAGTGTAGTTTATGGATTGGTTTGGAGTCAAAAGGAGATGAATATTTGTTATGTTTCTACTGTGAGCTAGAGACCAGGCTAGGTGCTTCATGTATGTGCTTTCATTTAATCTTCACAGCAACACAGTGAGGTAGATGTTTATTATCACACTTTATCATTGAGTAAACCAAGCCTCAGGAAGATTAGGTAACTTAGTTTTGACATAGGTAGTGACTGGTGACTTCAGGATCAGCATTCTCATCAGGTTTCAAACCCTAGGGTCTTCCTCACAATGTTAAATACATCCATCCCAGATTAAGCAACAAATCCCACTTCCATCAAAATATATAAACACAGCTCTGATTTCCACTCTATTATGACTACATGTGTGTCATGCTCACTCCCTGATGTCTCTGTTCCTCACCTCTCCTTCCTCATCTCATCTAATAAAATGGCATGAGGTTTTGTCCCCTTTCTTTCTCAAGGAAAAGGACTAGTGAGTCTAGAAGGACCCAAATGGTTCCAGCACCGTCACCTACTAACTCCTGGGTTCAATTTTAACATCTTGAAATCATATGTTGAGGTGATGGCCCATTCAGTGAACACAATGCTGGTAAGTGAAGGGACAAAAAGTTCTCTGGTGTGTTGCAGAATATTTCCAACAGGGAATGAATTAGACATGTGTGATGGGTAGTAAAATTCAAAGGGGGATGGCTCTTAGAAATTAACCAGTGTACATTTACCAACTGAGCAATAGGTGTCCATGTAAGCCTTTGCTATCACTCTTTGTTTGGGTGACAAAAAATGATGAAGTTCTGGTCATCTAACTCAGGTATATTTTGAGACCCTATGGCAGTAAACCAAGTACCAAGTAGTGAGATTCAGATGGTCAGTGCTGTAACTGACAGGTGAGGAAATGAGGAATAGCTATAGTAGCTTCAGATTCAGAGGAGACTCATTTTTACCAGCAAATATGAGCCGGACTTGCTTATGTGGATAATACAGATGAGTGAATTCTAGGCAGAGTGAGTTAGCATAAGCAAAGGTATGGAAGTTAGAGCGAATTTGCCTGATGGTCACAAAGAACCTAGCAAAAGATAAATGTCTACGTTAAAGCCACAGGGTGTGAGTTTCCTCTTGTAGATAGTAGTGGATCATTTGGAGCTGACTTGTGCCTTTTCAAAGGGGCAGGAGGATGTTGGCAGAGGAATATTCCTAAGGGTGGTCCTTGATTTATAAATGAGTTCCATTCTAAAACTCCACTGGTTTGTGGTATATTTTTAATTTTTAAATTGTGATTGTTTAAAAATGAGACAAGTAATTCATTAATACAAGTTTCATGATAAACACTTCAAACTCCACCAATGAAGCCAAAGTTTCCCTCCACTTTCATTTGCAAACCCATCCCTTTGCCCAGGAGAGAACCACTGTTACCAACCAATTGGCTGAGTTCTCACAGAAGTGGATTTAACCTGAGTTAAGGTGAAAATACCCATGGCCCACTCTTGGCAGAAAGCCTCACGTACAGGCTAGAGAGAGAAGGAGCAGTCTCCTTCCATTCTGGTGCCATGCTGCTTTGTACACAATGACAAATTAGCCAGTGGTGGTACTGAGTTTATCTCTGTTTCAGTAAACCACTTGTGTCTTCCTCGTTTCTCAGCCCCACCTGAGCCTGAGACTCCACTCATAGCTTTCCCCTCTGCTGAGCTGTGCCCTAGTGCTTCCAGCTTGAGCTTCCCCTTCGCTGCCATTTCTCCTAAATTTACTTTTTTTACACAGTAAAACTTACATTATTCAAGATGAAAGCAATTGAATAAACAATGGACATTGGGATAAAAGCTTTAAAAAAAATATCTGCCTCCAAATGTGTACCAGCCCCTACCTATGGCATTAGGTGCTCAATAGGTTGATCTGGCTTTAAACATTTAGATTTCTTTGTGTTTAACACAAAGAATGCTTATCATGACATATTCATTTTCAACAGGGAGCATTTCAGGTAGTGTGAGCAGGTCACCTGGAGGGGAGAAGTAAATTCGGCACAAACAGCGCTTGGCAGGGGGTCAGCTGGAAGCTGCTCCTACCCATGGCTTCTCTCTGTCCCCCACTTCTGAATTGAAAAGGCTTCTTACAATGTTCCAAGTTTATTTTAAGTGTGGCTAAGGTGGTTGGCAGTAGTGATGGGGTAGGGTGTCTAGCAATTTGGGGGCTGAAGATGGAGGAAGCCCTGGGGAGACCCCTTGTAATTAGAGGTCTTGTATCAGAGATTGTCTGTTTTACTGGAACTCTGATCTGTTGTAAAGCAGAGTTATGGTAATGACTGAAAGGCCAAAAATACTTAACTCAGCCATTTACAAGATACCCGGCTTGCTCCGTGCTCTTTCTCACTCAGCTAGGTGCGGCTTTCCCTTCCTCATGCCAAGTAAGCACTTGGCTTATTTACATATACAACCTATGGCTCCTCCTAGGTCTGGATTGTCTACCTTACAGCCTAAGGGCAGGGTAAGGGAGGAGCTTTCAGGTAAAGGCAGTTTGATGATGCTGTTGGTCTTGACCTCCTGTGCCAGGGTAAGTGGGAGAAGATCTGTGGCCCCCAGGACACAGTTGTGGAGGTCTTTGAGCATATCACCTTGATGACCCTGGACATACTTATGAAGTGTGTTTTGAGCCAGGAGACCAACTGCCAGACAAGCAGGTCAGTGACAGAAAAGCAAAAAGACACTTGTTCGTCATTATCTAAGTCATGCATTGACATATTGTCCCCACTTTCTCTTCTAGCACCCATGATCTTTATGTTAAAGCGACATTTGAAGCCAGCAAAATCATCTTTCACCGCTTATACAATTTCTTACATCACCTTGACATAATTTTCAAATTCAGCCCTCAGGGCCACCGCTTACAGGAAATGGTCAAAATTCTACATCAGTACACAGGTATTGCTTGTATTTGGATTGCCTAAGTCCATACACCGTCATCATTGTACTGTGCCTGTCTAGAAGAACAGGCCTCAGTGTGAAAAAAAAAAAAATTCTTGTTCTTAACAGAGCTTTTATATGGACAGTGCTCCTTTAGAAGAGTGTGCTAGATCCATAGTAGTAGTTCTCTACTACTTCAGAAGTTTTCTATGTATTATATCATGTTTATTATTATTTCCAATTGTTGGGGTGCCTGGGTGGCTCAGTTGGTTAAGCATCCGACTTCAGCTCAGGTCCTGATCTCATGGTTTGTGAGTTCGAGCCCCACATCGGGCTCTGTGCTGATGGCTCAGAACCTGGAGCCTGCTTCAGATTCTGTGTCTCCTTCTCTCTCTGCCCCTCCCCCAACTTGTTCTCTGTCTCTCTCTGTCTCTAAAAATAAATTAAAAAAATATTTCCAATTGTTATTAATACAAATATAACAAGGGTCATTTAATATCTCAAAGCACACAAGGGCATATGGCTTTTTACACAGTGTTTGCAGTAGTTGCGAAGGAATAACAACAAACTAAAAACATTCATGCAACATGGGAATGAATATGAGAACAGAGAGCACACAGACACGCATTCAAAAGGAGGGGGGTCGGGGAGTTGTTCAGTAGGTAGAAAGTTTCAGTTACACAAAATGAACAAGTTCTAGAGATCTGCCTACAGTTAACAGTGCTGTACTGGGCATGTAAAAACTTGTTAAGTGGGTAGATCTCCGGTTAAGTGTTCTTACCACAATAAAAAAATAAAAGAAGCTCAGTTCAAAAATAGTTTTGGCAAAACATAAACATAAAAGTTGAAATAGATTAAGCTCTTTAAGCAATTCAACATTACTTTTCATCAACACCCGAATAGAGAATATTTATAAAGCAGTTAATGAATCCTTCCTCAGCTATGACTTCAGGCAAGTTACTCACTGCTTTGTCTCAATGTCAGCTGTAAAAGCGCTTGGGAAAGTGCCTGGTACAAGTGCCTGGTACTAAATAAATGTTAATCATAAAATACAGTTACTTTAGCAAATATATTTGCCTCAAGGAAATTTGCAAGACACACCCACACAGGCACAGGCGCAGTCAGGCACCCATAAACACACATGAATGTAGTGTATAAGGAGGACAGTCAGAAGCAGGTTAGGTTAACGATTTAAGATACAGATGGGCATTATGCAAATTATGGAAAGAGCCTAAATGTCCATCAACTGATGAATGGATAAAGAAATTGTGGTTTATATACACAATGGAATACTACAGGGCAATGAAAAAGAACGAAATATGGCCCTTTGTAGCAACGTGGATGGAACTGGAGAGTGTGATGCTAAGTGAAATAAGCCATACAGAGAAAGACAGATACCATATGGTTTCACTCTTATGTGGATCCTGAGAAACTTAACAGAAACCCATGGGGGAAAGGAAGGAAAAAAAAGAGGTCAGAGTGGGAGAGAGCCAAAGCATAAGAGACTCTGAAAAACTGAGAACAAACTGAGGGTTGATGGGGGGTGGGAGGGAGGGGAGGGTGGGTGATGGGTACTGAGGAGGGTACCTTTTGGGATGAGCACTGGGTGTTGTATGGAAACCAATTTGACAATAAATTTCATATATTGGAAAAAAAAAAAGATGGGCATTTATAGCAGTAGTTCCAAACCGGTTCACATCATGGCCCACACAGAAAATGCTAATATTTGTATGGCTCACTAGAGTGAATCTGGGGCGTCTACAAAGGGTTATTGAAAGAACTCTTTACTATTTCTTTATATTACATAATTATGATGAGAAAACAAAATGCAAATATTAGGGAAAAATAAATGCTAAATTTATTCAAAATAAAACCTTTTCAAAAATTTTATATTTATTTAGTCAAATTTACCAATATTATTTGTTCCTTTTTATTTTTTATTATTTTTTAAAATGTATTTTCAAGTTAGTTAATATACAGTGTAGTCTTAGCTTCAGGATTAGAACCCAGTGATTCATCTCTTACATATGACACCCACCGCTCATCCCAAAAAGTGCCCTTCTTAATGCCTATCACCCATTTAACCCAGTCCCCCCACCCCCCTCTAGCAATCCTCAGTTTGTTCTCTGTATTTAAGAGTCTCTTATGGTTTGCCTTACTCCTCGTTTTTATCTTATTTTTTCCTTCCCTTCCTCTATGTTCATCTGTTGAATTTCTCAAATTCCACATATGAGTAAATCTTATGGCGTCTGTCTTATTTTGCTTAGCACAACACCCTTCAGTTCCATCCATGTTGTTGCAAATGGCATGATTTCATTTCTTTTTCATTACCAAGTAATATTCTATTGTATATATACCACATCTTCTTTATCCATTTATCAGTTAATGGACGTTTGAGCTCTTTCCATAATTTGGCTGTTGTTGATAGCACTGCTATAAGCATTGGGGTGCATGTGCCCCTTTAAATCAGCATTTTTGTAACCTTTGCAGAAATTCCTAGTAGTGCGATTGCTGGGTCATAGAGTAGAGTAATTCTATTTTTAATTTTTTGAGGAAACTCCATACTGTTTTCCAGAGTGGCTGTACCAGTTTGCATTCCCACCAACAATGCAAAAGGGTTCCTCTTTCTCCACATCCCCATCAACATCTGTTGTTTCCTGTGTTGTTAATTTTAGCCATCTGACCAGTGTAAGGTGGAATTTCATTATGGTTTAGATTTGTGTTTGAGTGATGTTGAGCATCTTTTGATGTGTCTGTTTCCCACATGGATGTCTTCTTTGGAAAAGTGTCTGTTTATGTCTTCTGTCCATTTCTCCACTGGATTATTTGTCGTTTGGGTGTTGAGTTTGGTAAGTTCTTTATAGATTTTGGATATTAATGCTTTATCCATTGGAAAAAACCCAAAGCTGGAGGCATCACAATCCCAGACTTTAACCTGTATTACAAAGCTGTAATCATCAAGATAGTATGGTATTGGTGCAAAAACACATAGATCAATGGAATAGAATAGAGAACCTAGAAATGGACCCACAACTATATAGCCAGCTAATCTTTGACAAAGCAGGAAAGAGTATCTAATGGAATAAAGACAGTCTCTTTAGCAATTTGTGCTAGGAGAACTGGACAGCAACATGCAGAAGAGTGAACCTGGACCACTTTCTTACATCATACACAAAAATATATTCAAAATGAATGAAAGACCTAAATGTGAGACAGGAAACCATCAAAATTCTACGAGAGAAAACAGGTAATGACCTCTTTGACCTAGGCCGCAGCAACTTCTTACTTAACATGTCTCCAGAGGCAAGGGAAATAAAAGCAAAAATAAACCATTGGTGCCTTGTCAAGATAAAAAGCTTCTGCACAGCAAAGGGAACAATCAACAAAACTAAAAGGCAACTGACAGAATAGGAGAAGATATTTGCAGATGATATATCAATTATTTTTATTACATCTGGATTTTAAGTAGTAGACAGTAGCCATCCCCTATTCTAGGGTATTTCAACCCTTGCTCTAATGACATTTTGGTTTGGATAAGTCTTTGTTATGTGGGGAGGTGTCCTGTGCATTGTAGGATGTTTAGTTCCATCCCTGACATCTATCCACTCAATGCCAGTAGGACTCTGACAGTTGTGGCAACTGAAAATGTCTACACACGTTGATGAATGTCCCCTGGGGTCAAAATTATCTCCATCTGAGAACCACTGCCCTATACCCAAATTGTAGAGACATTCATCCATGTTTTTCTTCTAGTGCTTGTGTGGTTTTGTTCTTGCAGTTAGATCTCTGATTCATTTAGGGTTTATTCTTATGCATGGTGCAAAGTGTTGACCTAACTTTTCCAAATGGTTATCCAGTTGTCTCATCACCATTTATTAAAAAGGTGGTATATCTATGCAATGGTATGTTACTCAGCCATAAAAAAGAATGCGATCTTGCCATTTGCAACAACATGGATGGACCTAGAGGGTATTATATTATGCTAAGTGAAATAAGTCAGATAAAGAAAGACAAATACCATTCAATCTCACTCATATTTTTTCATTTAAGAAACAAAATGAAGAAAGAAAAAAGAAACAAACAAAAACAAATTGGTGGTGCAGAGGGCAGGTGGGTAGGGGGATGAGTGAAATAAAGAGGATTAAGAGTATACTTAACATGATGAACATAGAGTAATATATAGAATTGTTGAATCATTACACTGTACACCTGAAACGAATATAATGCTGTATGTTAATTATACTTCAATTAAAAATTTAATTTAATTTAATTTAAAAGTTCCATCTGTTCCAGTAATTGAGATAACCATTTTTATATACTAAATTGACATATGTACTTGAACCTATTTCTGGACTTTCTTTTCTGTTCCATTCATCTGTCTATTTATTCATGTACTGGAATCACACTGATTCTTTTAAAGAGATTTTGTAGTATTTTTTTTTAATTAACAAACTATTTTTAGACAGTTTTAAGTATACAGAAAAATTAAGTAGAAAGTGTAGACAGTTCCCATATACTTTCTCACCTCCACCTTCTTATGCAGTTTCTCCTCATCACATCTTGCTTTAGTGAGGTACATTTGTTACAATTGAGCCAATATTGACACATTATTAACTAAAGTCCATAGTTTACTTTAGGATTCATTATTTATATTGTACACTCTATGGGTTTTGACACATGTGTTATGATATGTATCCCCCTCTATTCCTAGTTTCCTGAGGGATTTTTTTTCTTAATTGTGAATGGGTGTTAGATTGTGTTAGATCTTTTTTCTGTGTCTTTTAATATGGCCATATGATTTTTCTTCTTTAACTTATTGATGCGATAGATTACATTAATTGATTTTTTGATGTTGAACCAGATTTGCTGATCTGGAATAAATCCTACTTGGTAATGGTGTATAATTCCTTTTGTGCATTGTTGGATTCTTTTTGCTAATATTTTATTGAGGATTTTAGCATTGATTTCATGAGAGATATTTGGTTTGTGGTTGTCCTTTCTTGTAATGTCTTTGTCTGGTTTGGGTATTAGGATAATGTCTGGCCTCATAAAATAGATTAGGGAATATTCCCTCTGCTATTTTCTGGAATATATTGTAAAGAATTGATGTGATTTCTTTCTCAAATGTTTGAAAGAATAAACCACTGAAATCATCTAGACCTGTTTTTGGAAGGTCATTATTATTGATTTAATTTATTTAATATATATAGGTCTATTCAGATGATCTGTTTCTCTGGATGAATGTTGATAGGCCGTGTCTTTCAAGAATTTGGTCCATTTCACCTAGGTTATCAGATTTACGGGCATATATTTGTTCATAATATTCCTTTATTATCTTTTTAATGCTCATAGAATCAATAGTGATGTTCCCTTTTTATTCCTGATATTAGTAATTTTTATCTTCTCTGTTTTTTTTCTTAATTAACCTGGCTAGAGATTTATCAATTTTACAGATCTTTTCAAAGAATCAACTTTTGGGTTCATTGATTTTTTTTTTCCCTTGGTTTCTTATTTTCAATTTCACTGCTTTCTGCTCTAATTTTTATTATTTCACTTCTTCCACTATGGATTTAATGGGTTCTCTTTACAGTTTCCTGAGGTCAAAGATTAGATTAGGATTTTAGATTTTTCTTCTTTTCTAATATATCCACTCAATGCTACAAATTTCCCTCTAAATATTGCTTTCACTGTGTTCCACAAATTTTATTAGCTGTATTTTTAATTTTCATTTAGTTCAAAATATTTTTAAAATTTCCCTTGAGATTTCTTTGGCCCATGTGTTATTTAGAAAAGTGTGGTTTACTCTCCAACTATTTTGGAGTTTTCAAACTATCTTTCTGTTATTGATTTCTATTCCATTGTGGTCTGAGAGCATACTTTGTATGATTTATGTTCTTTTAAAGTTTGTGCTTTATGGCCCAAATGTGGTCTATTTTAGTGAATGTTCTCTGTGAGCTTGAAAAGGAGGTGTATTCTGCTGTTGTTGGATGATGTATTCCATAGGGGTTAAATAGATCCAGTTGATTGATGATATTGTTCAGTTCAACTACATCCTTGCTGGTTTTCTGCCTGCTGGATCTGTCCATTACTGACAGGGAAGTGTTGAAGTCTCCAACTATAAGAGTAGATTCATCTATTTCTCCTTGGAGTCCTGTTGTTTTTTGCCTTATATGTTTTGACACTCTGTTGTTAGGTGCATTCACACAAAAGATTGTTTTATTATTGGAGAATTGACCCCCTTATCATTATATAATACCATTTTAATCCCTATTAATTTTTCCCTACTAATTTTACTTGCTTGGAAATCTGTTCTACTGAAATTAATATAGTTACTCCAACTTTCTCTTTGTTAGTTAGCATGGCATATCTTTCTCTACTCCTTTACTTTTAATCTATACATATCTTTATGTATTTAAAGTGGGTTTCTTGTAGATGACATATAGCTTGGGTTTTTTTCATCCATTCAGAAGTCTCTGTCTTTTAGTTGTTGTATTTATACCATCGATGCTTAATGTGATTATTGATATATTTGGATTAATAGCGACCATATTTGTTACTTCTTACTGTTCATTGCCTTTTTTTGTCTTTCACTCTTTTTCTGCTTTCTCTGGTTTTAATTGAGCATTTTATATGATTCCATTTTTCTCCTCTCTTAGCATATAAATTATACCTGTTTTTACCTTTTTTTAGATGCTGCCCATGAGTTTGTTTTATATATATATATATATATATATATATATATATATATATATATATGTATATATATATACACATATATATACATATATATGTATATATACATATATACATATATATGTATATATATGTACACATATATACATATATATGTTGTTATATATGTGTGTGTGTATATATATATATATGTGTGTGTGTGTGTATTTGCTATCACTTTGGTAATCAGAAATTGTTATTCTATCCCAGAAAAGATAATCCAGGATAGAAAAAAATTGCTCAAGAATGAGAAGAAGTATGGTAACACTCAGAAGCGGAAGTACCAGGATTTTCTGGATATTATCCTTTCTGCCCAGGTAAGTCTCAAATGTCTGAGGCTGCTCATATAGTTAATTGTGTGGGTAGCTGGATGATTGAGGAGGAGGATAGACAAAAGCAACATTGATCAACTAAATTTAACAACACTTTTGATGGTTGGCTCCATACAGTTTGAGATCAAGACAGAAATCTATAATTCTGTCACTAGAAGGGATTAGGTAAGGCCAAATTTTTTACTAATTTGACAGGATTTGGTGATTACTGCAAAGATACATGATAGTTTAGGGAAACATGGGGAAAGAGTCACAGCGTAAGCTGGTAAAATGATGATGATGAGGTGCTGGGAAGTCTGAATAAATCTGGTAGGATGATTGGAAGAACTCTTTGCAAAGTCTGCTTTCCTTGTCTAACATTGGTTCTCCTTTATGCTCTGGTCAAAGTATGGCCTCTATTATGTATTTGATGAACTAAATTAAAATTGAAACTCTCATTTGAAACTCTAATTTATTTCCCTAAAACCATTATCTTGATTGGGGCTCCAAAGATCTGTAAATTGACATTGCATAAAAATTTCTCTATTTTACCCGTTGCATAAAAACAGTTCTGTTTTACCTTTCAGGCTGAAAATGACAACAACTTCTCAGATACTGACCTACAGTCCGAGGTGAACACATTCATGTTGGCAGGGCAAGACACCATGGCAGGGGGCATTTCCTGGCTCCTCTACCACCTGGCTCTGAACCCTGAGCACCAGGAGAGATGTCGGGAGGAGATCAGGGGCATCCTGGGGGACGGGTCTTCTATCACCTGGTAAGATCTGCATTCCTAAACATTTCATCCTGGTTCCCCTCCTTGGGTTTTGCTTTATTTTTACCTGTGGTATCTTGGTGACTGTTATTGCTTTAAGATATGTGCCTGTAGAAACAGAATAAGCATGCTACTATTCTGCTCTTTTTCTAAAGGAACCAAAATTATCCCTTTATCTTCTGCTAAAGAAGTTCACTCATCCACAACTTATCTGTTTTGTTGTTTTTCTAATCAGTGGTGTGTAATGTCTCATTTCTTTCTTTCACCTAGGCTCCAGTGCACTGAAAATGGGGCTTGATCCCTAGACTTGCATTTAGAGCTTAAATGGTAGGGCTTAAGTGGGGTTCCTCTTCCGATACCTGAGTGCATATCCATATCATTTCAGCCTCATTGTAGTCATTGTCTCCCATTTCTTTGTTCACTCCTCAGGACTGGCTTTGGACTTTGAACATAGTACCAAATGATACACACTTTAGTTGAGTCTGCGGATTATGGACTTACGACATTTTAAATACTGAGGTACTTAAAAAATGTCCAAGGTTTGATTGGGCTCACACCTGGTACAGGAGACAGACCTCCATACAAATAATTGCCATATAACCTGGTAAGGGTAGCGAGAGAGAGAGAGAGATGTGCGGGTTACTACAGAGACTTAGAAGACAGGCACCTAACCTGGTATAGGGGACTCCAGAGGACTTCCTGGGAGATCTGACATGCTAGCTGCCTCTTTCAGGATGGGTAGGAATCAGCCAGGTAGAAAACTTCAACACCGTTGTGCAAGACTTTGAGCTTATCTTGCTGTTAATGATGCCCATGTTATGGATTTGCCCCTCAGACATAATCTCTGATAGAAAAACAAACACATGTCTCCAATATAAACCACATTCTTTACCCTAGTTAGATATTTCACTTATCCTTGTTTTGCTGGTCAAAGGGACAGAAAGATAGAAATACTAAGGTCCACCTGACCTCATGACTACGGGGAAAACACCATATTTCAAATGCAAAGGACAGCTCAGAACATTTGTAAGGGACAATTTGAATTTATATAGATGTAGTAGAGGTCTTACTTTTTATAAGGAAATAATATTTCCTACCATAAATTAAAGGTTTAATTTGTATAGCACAAAATATAGTATTGATTAATCATTTTTTACTCATGCATTAACACTAATCGGATAACCTGTTTAGGGCGGATATATATGTATATATATATATCCAACCCAAATATTCACCTTCCTTATTCTTGTTTGGCCTATGTGAAATGTGAAAACAGTAAAGAAATTTTTGCCAGGTGAGAAGAAAAAGTCCAAAGGATCTGTTAACTTTCATTTTAATGAGAGAAATGAAAATAATTTTATAAACAATAAGATATGTTTTTATTCCATAGTATGACCTTATACTTACATTTCGTGAAATTTTTCCATAGCATTTTGGAAATTCATAGTTCTTTTAGACAGATAGTCAAACCACACTGCAAAGAGCCATTTCCGAAAAAGCTGGGAAGTTATTCAATGTCTCCATTTGGCTCCTCATCAGCCATTTCTGCATTGGGTTAAAATTCCTCTCTTCTTGCACCAGGGCTAAGATGGACAACATTGTGTTTCTTAAATATGCAAAGTGCCAGACTAAGAATTACTCTTTTTATTCTGGGCTTGAGGAGGAAAGAGTTCAAAATTAAAATTTCACGGGGCACCTGGGTGGCTCAGTCGGTTGGGCATCTGACTTCGGGCCAGGTCATAATCTCATGGTTTTGTGGCTTCGAGCCCCACTTCAGGCTCTGTGCTGACAGCTCAGAGCCTGGAGCCTGCTTTGAATTCTGTGTCCCCCTCTCTCTCTGCCCCTTCCTTACTCACACTCTGTCTCTCTCTGTCTCTCAAAAATAAGTAAACCTTGAAAAAACTTTTAACAAAAAAATTAAAATTTCACACCACCGAATGGCCAAAGCCTGCATTCAAAATAAGTAATCAGAAAAGCAAACAGAAATACAATAAAACAAATAGACTGAATATATGCAGTCATTTTATGACTAGCTGACTATCTAGGATGCAAGTAAAAAACTTTATTCTTCTCCCTCTGATACTTGTATAGGGCAAGTTCTTTTCATCTCCAGAGTGAAATCTTACCCGGATCTCAGAGAGTTCCCATCCATTTAATTCACAAGAGCAGTCTCATTCAGTAATTAAGCTGTCTGGTCCAGTGGAATAATACAAAGTGTAAATTTGCATCCACTGGGACCATCTCCCTCCATCCCAGATCAGCATTTCTTTGGGTCTAGAAGCCAGTGGTGACTGAGGGGGTTGTGGTTGACTTCTTACTGACCAGTTCCTCCCCTACCCAGTAGCTGCTGCTTCTGGCCTTTCCATAACTGGTCCCAGGAGGAAGTGAGGATAAGGAGAAAGGGGTGGTAATATGGTGATCTTGCCCTCTAAGCTTAGTAGCTATTCAGTGCTTCCTTTTATTCTCAGTGGGTGCATCTCTGGGTTTTTTGGAGATTCCCTCACTGTAGCTTTGCCATGGTGATTCATGGGGCAAGGAAATTCTTGTCCTCAGAGCTCCTTTCAAGCTGGTTCTAGAGCTCTCCCTCTTGCCAGTTCATTGGCCCATAGAACACAATGGACCACTCCTAACTTGTCCCTGTTGCCCTCCCCTCACTCCCTTGCCTGTTCTGAGTCACAGCCTTTCCTATCAGCCCTGTTTCCCAAACTCCAGGGAGCACATTTCAGGTCATCTCAGTGACCCCAGAGGGCTTCTTTGCCTAACATGGTTTGGGGGTACTCCTCCATTCTCCACAGTACTCTGGCATTCCAACAATTCTCCTTAAAGGTTTTTTTTTTTTCTATCAAAACGTTTCAGCCTCTTCTTTTTAGTCCTTAGTCATTCCTTACACATTCTTGAGCTAAGTGTTGCAAAACTGGTTTCAGAAACTCCCCTAGCAAATCCTTTACTGGTAGATTAGCATCTTGCTTTATCATGAAGATATCTGGCACTTTTTTGGTCCCTCTTTCTCTGGAACCTCAGCTGATCCTGAGGCAGAAAGAGTCTCAACATTCTGTTACATAAACCAACTGCAAAATAACTTTGACCTAGAGATGGTATTTACCAAGAATAAACACCAAAGAGGAAAAGAACATCAATATTTATAAACTGGATATGGAGTCTGAGTTCCCTACCCTCCTTCCTTGTCCTCACAGGGACCAGCTGGGTGAGATGTCATACACTACAATGTGCATCAAGGAGTCACTCCGACTGGCCCCTCCAGTCCCATCCATTTCCAGAGAGCTCAGCAAGCCCATTACCTTCCCAGATGGACGCTCCTTGCCTGCAGGTCTTTGTATTCTTTTTCTAAGCAGTTCTTAGAGACCATGGGATCCTGGGTGACAAAGTGACAATGACAAAGACTGGCTTGTTTCTCAACTGTTAGAGTCAAAATACAATCCTAAGGACGTCTACCTTAGGGTTGGGTGCCTATTAAGAATTCAGTGGGAAATTCCTTGATCAAATGTGGCTTCCAGACTTTCTCAAAGGTATATAACCATTTGAAGCAAAGCTCTGTGCCCAGAACCTGGATTACCAGAATCCCAACCCAGGGTTTCTTTCATTGGAGGACATCGTTCCTAAGATTATCCTTATTTGGCTTAGTTTGAGACCCAGGTGAGACTTCGTGGGAAATGAGCATCATCATCTTTATCTAGATGACCCCGTGGGTCTTTGGCTTCATCATCATAATAATGTCACTCTTGTAAGTGTACAGCACTTAATAGTTTACATAGAGCCTTCAAACACATTATCTCATTTTTCCCCTTGGCAAAGATCTTAGCAGACATTTATCTGGTGCTTCTCAGTTTACAAAGCACTTTCAAATACTTTTGGTGTAGCCAAAAACCCACCAGAGACCCCAAAGTGCAGATGAGCAGAACTAAAACTCACACAGAGTCCCAACGCCTGGAGCCCTGTGCTCTTCAGAGAACAGGTTTCCAAGCATGGCAGGTGAGAGGCAGAGGGGTGTCATGTGAGACACCCTTCACTTCTCTGCTTCAGTGTTCTGTGAATTCTTGCCCTTAGATACAAGCTGATAAGACTGCTTGTAGCAAACACCAGCAGCCTGTCACTTACTGTGACTTTGTGGACAGATCCAGAATTAATTTACCAGAATTTTTACGGTAATCAAATAATCCTCAAAATCTCTCTCCCCTGTGTTTTTTTTTAAGCCCCAAACCACATGGATATTTGCTAAAATTTCCTCCCTTCCACTTATGAACAGAACTAGCAGAAACTTGTCACTGGACCTGCATGATGGAATTGTGATTCTGTTCTTTTCTACCCAAACTGTCTCTGGTGGGTGCTGTATAGTCCACTAACAGATATCATTTTGACATGATACCAATAGCTCCTTAAGATAGAAGCATGTATTAAATAAGTCATTGCTTTGAAATCTAAGGTGTCACCCAGGCCTCATCTTCCCATGGGTCCTTGACTGCTGGCATCAGCTACAGTGCACAGAACTCTGCCAAGAGCTAGCTCTTTCCCTTCAAGAAGAAAAGTCTTATTGAAGAATGGTGTAACAGTAGCCCACAACTTGCTGTATCTTCTGCAATCTTTTTTATTTCTTTCTTTTCACAGGAATAACCGTGGTTCTCAGTATTTGGGGCCTTCATCATAACCCTGCCATCTGGGAAAACCCAAAGGTACGGCTGTCTTGCACATAAATCCTTCAAAGAACTAATGCTGTGTAGCTCACTTTTTGTTAGCTATGCATGGAAGTGGCAAATGACTCAAGGCAAACAAAATAAACTTAAAGACCGAAAATGTTCAACCTTTCCCCCAAAGGAAAGCTATCTGTCCCCTTCCCCTATTCCTACTTTATGTTCACTTTGCATGAACATATGGATATAATGCCACACAATCTGTTTGAAATTGCCCACAGTCTATACCACAGCTGTTTACTTAGCAAGCTTTATCAAGAACTCACCTAGACGCCTGCAGGAGTATAGACTACTCATGCAGTCATGCAGGCAACTCAGACTCTTTTTGGCTGGATGTAACAATCAGGATTCTGGCAGAAACCCAATGGCACACTCAACCTGGGCATTTGGAGGAGAGTTTTATAAAGCAACTATTTACAAAAGTATGGGTAGGCTTTAGAAAAACAGAATGGAGCAAATAACTGCTGAAGTGCTTACCACATCTGGGCCAGGCAGGAAAGAGGGTTACAAAGCCTGGAGAGAGATTACTGTGCTGGGAAGTGTCCTGGGCAGGAGTTGGACCTTCAGTGGAGTGTGCAGCCAGCCAGAGGCAGCCTGGTAGGGTGGGGCCCAGGGAATAAATAACCCAAAAGCTCTCTCTGCCCACCCTCCAGATCGCCAATCAATGTCTTTTATCAGCCAACCTCAAAAGAAACCATGTGGGTCAGCTTCTTGGAGCCCAGAGCAGGGCAGGAAAGGGAGGAGAGACTGCACGCAGAGGCAAAAAGAAGACATATAGCTTACCTGAGCGCTTGATTCAACGTTCTTAAACTCTCAACACTCACAACACCTACAGATACTTTCACATAAGTGGCTAGGATTTAAGATCTCTTATGTGTAATGGGAGGTGGACTACATGTCTCAGTAATCATTGATCACATAAGCACTTTGGCTTGACTTCTAAGTGGGCGCATTCTTTTTTTTTTATGTTCCAATCAATTTTATTTGAGTGTAGTTGACATACAATGTTACATTAGTTTCAGGTGCACAACTTAGTGATTTGACAAGTTTATACATTATGCTGTGTTCCCCACAAGCGTAGCTACCATCTGTCCCATTACATCGCTATTACAGTATTATTGAACATGTTCCTTATGCTATGTCTTTTATTCCTGTGACTTACTCATTTTGTAACTGGAAGCCTGTATCTCCCCTCTCCTCTTCACCCATTTTGTCCAAACTTCCCCCACAACCATCAGTTTGTTCTCTGTATTTTTGGTCTAATTCTGCTTTTTGTTTGTTTATGCACTTGTTTTTCGTTGTTTTTTTTTTTTAGATTCCACCCATGAATGGAATAATATAGTATTTATCTTTCTCAGTCTGACTTATTTTACTTAGCGTACTGCCCTCTAGGTATATCCATGTTGTCTCAAATGGCATGATCTCATCCTTTTTATGGCCATGTAATATTCCATCCCATCCACCACATCCTCTTTATACATTCATTTGTGGATGGACACTTAGGCTGCTTCCATATCTTAACTATTGTGAATAATGCTGCCATATTGCACATAGCAGGTGCATATATCTTTTCGAATTAGTGTTTTCATTTTCTTTGGGTAAATTAGGTTGGGACATTCTTACTTCCAGAATGAAAATAATATTACACCCTAGTGTTTCTGCTTTCTCCTTATGTGTCTGGGTAGCAGATTTGTCAATGAAGAGGCCAGACAAGGGCTGCACCTCTTGAGTTGCACTGTCCAGTGTGGTAGCTACTAGTCACATGTGGTTACTGGGCATTTGAAATGGAGCTAATGGGAAATGAGATGTGCTGGAAATGTGTACCCAGTGTGTATCACTGGATTTTGAAGACATAGTACAAAAATGTGAAATATTTCCTTAATAATTATTTATATTGAGTACATGTTGGAATGATAATATTTTCTGCAAAATAAATTCTATTGTTAAAATTACTTTCACCTTTTTAAAAAAGTGACTACCAGAATGTTTGAAATTACATATGTGGGGGTGCCTAGGTGGCTCAGTCAGTTAAGCGTCTGACTCTTGATCTCGGCTCAGGTCTTGATCTCAGGGTCATGAGTTCGAGCCCTGCATTGGGCTCCATGCTGGGTGTGAAGCCTGCTTAAAAAAAGAAGAAGAAAAGAAATTACATATGTAGCTCATTATAGATTTCTGTTGATCAGTGCTAAGCAGTAGCTTAAAAAATGTGCTAATGGTGTTTTGGGGATGGTGGTGGGGTTGCCTTGTCATTTCAGGTCTTTGACCCCTCGCGATTCTCTCAGGAAAATTCTGATCAGAGACACCCCCACTCCTTCTTACCATTCTCAGCCGGACCAAGGTGAGGACAATTTGAAGTTGTTGAAAATGGACAGAAGTGTTTTATTTGGAAACAGCATTCTTCCTTTGGTATCTCAGGTGTATATATTCTTCCATGGAACCCCATCTTCTCACCAGATTATGAGGTAGATATTGGTACCTATTTGAGCCCCTGAAAAGACCAGTTAGTTTCACAAAAGACAAAGCCCTTCTCTATCACATCTTATACAGCCATGCCTCAGAAAGCTCTCCCACAATGCAAACTTGCTCATCAGCCATGCAGCCCACCCCTGACACAGGAGAAACAATTCTTCTTTTTTCTTAATTTCAAATTTATTGAGGTATAGCTGACATGTGAAATTGTAAGATATTTAAAATGTGTATCATGGTGATTTGATATCTGTACAGATCATGAAAGGACTCTTCCCCATCTAGTTATTACCACATCCTCCATCTCACAAATTTATCTCTTTGTGTGTGTGTGTGTGTGTGTGTGTGTGCACGCGCACGCGTACGTGAGGACATTTAAATTCTGCTTTATTAGCAAATGTCAATGACACAATACTCTGTTACCCACTATAGTCACCCAGTTTGACGTTTATATCCTCACAGGAGAAACAATTCTATAAGCAATTCCAAGTGCCACCTTGTTTAGGGCAGGCATCACATTGCAGCCTCCCGGTTCACATTCTTACAGGGAACAATAGATATTCAAAAGTTTCTGTGGCATATGGTGTGTAAATGCAGCGTTACTGTGACTATCAGATTCATTATGCTAGCATCTTATGCAAGATTCAGAAAAAACTACCATTTCTTCAAGTATCTCTTTCCCTCTGTGTCTGCAGGAACTGTATCGGGCAGCAGTTTGCCATGATTGAGTTAAAGGTGGCCATTGCCTTGATCCTGCTCCGCTTCAAGGTGTCTCCAGATCCCACCAGACCTCTTGTCTTCTTGCCCCAGGTTGTCCTCAAACCCAAGAATGGGGTCTACTTGCACCTGAAGAAACTACCCTAATGTTACAGCCTAGGGTACAACAATTATATATATATATATATATATATA